CCAGGTTTTCCATATATATTGCTTCACTATTTTTGATAATTTCTTGTGGAAACTTATATCCAAATTAAGAGAAGGTGCTTAATTACACAAGAGATTAAAAGTGAAAAAAGAGATTAAAAATAGGGGAAATAGGGGACCTGTGTTATGTAACCCGTGGAAAGTTGAAGATATGTAGCTGGGGAAAGTCCAATTCTCTTCATCTTTTAATTCATCTGGAGAGATGAATTTAAAAAAAATTTCTTTACATTACCAAGATTTGAGGTTTATTTTTATTGCAATATGTAAGATTCGGAAGAATTAGGAGAACACGAATATCCTGCATACTGCAGTAGACTACACATATTACTAGATATAAAATAAAAAATGCTATTAAACGCAGTGATAAAAACACTACATTGAATAATTTCAAAACGGTCAATCGAGACGGTGGTCAATCGGAACAATGATCAATCGGGACGATGATCAATCGAGACGGTGGTCAATCGGGACGGTGGTCAATCGGGATTATGGTCAATCGAGATTATGGTCAAACGAGACGATGGTCAATCGGATGGTCAATTGCAACGTGACCAATCGCAACGTGATCAAATGGGATTGTGATCAATATTAACATGGTCAAACGGGTGCCACTCCTATTATTTTGATACAAAATATTGCATATTGCTCATAATGAAAAATTCCAGTAGTCATTGGCAACGAATTCTTGATAAAAAGAACCTATTTGTAGTGATTCTGCCATTCTTGATATCTTTTGGTTCATAATTTATCGCAGTTGAAATCGTAGCTAAAAATGTTGATAAGAAATATATGAAATTACCATATTTGGATAATAAATTCATAGTATTGCCATTGTTACATTTAGATTAAAATTGTTAAAACTGTCATGTCGCAGTTTAAATAATGATGTATTTGAAGGATTATGTCATCGTCGAATTTGACGATGGTATTCAAATAATACTGAAGTTGTGGATTAACAGCAATGCATCTAAAGTCCGATGGCCAACATTCTCGTCGCAAAAATGCTATGATAAAGTGGTCAGATTGATGAAGAATTATCAAGACTTTTGGTTCGAAGTTTCAATTAAAGGAATTTTAGGCAGCACGTAAGCTACTACTTTTATTGAAGTTTAGAATGTTCTATCAATAAATAATCACGTAGAAAATAGAATATATTGTATTTAAAGTGAGTAAACGGATGTTAAACTTTTACGTATAAAGTATCATATATTAATCAATATCAATTCAATAATCTAGAAGAATACATTAAGCTAAAAATAATCTTAGAAATTCATTCAATGCGCGTTCATAGCTGAACAATAATTCATTAGATGATTCTATTATATTTGCAAACACAAATAATCAATGTTCATTTAGTCTATATAATTTATTAAGAATTCAACATATTAATACATGTATTATAAATTATATAATGCTTATTACTTTCATCGTACGAAAAAGCTCGAGAAAAATTAGTAGATGCCGAAATTTTCTCTGATGTGCCAATTGGTTCAATAGGAACGAAATGTTGAAACGAACCAGAAAAATAAGAGCGAGGCATAATCGATTCAGTGATGAATCATCAGAAAATGACAATTCCATAAAAGTTCCGCCAGTTTCTAAAGTTCCGGAAAAAAGTTTACCACAAAAATATATAGCAAATAATAAAAAGAAAAAGAAAAGTAATTTTAATAGTAATAAATAAATAGTAATAATAAAATAAGTTGTTATACTGACAGAAAAAATATGTAACAATGATCAGATAATAATAGATCAATTTATAATATCAAAAACACGTAATGCTACTCATAATACATGCTTAACAATTACAATGTTATTCACAAATTTCTTGAAATTATGTTTTACTACACAGTAATTGCTAAAATTATACATGTCAATACTATATAATAGTAAGTTACTTATGCTTTCATTATTAATGAAAGTATATTTCAAAATTATAATTTTATTTATGATTATCCGTAGTTCCTTATTTCCATTACTACATTGTTAAGGATACTTTCAGTATATACACTTGCACTGAGAAAAAAATATTTGCTGAATTAATGAAATAATCAGTCATACAACTTGACCACAATGATGACACAAATTACGAATCTCTGGCAATATACTCACGAATTGTAGGCAATAAACTCACTCTGTCAAAAACTCAAAAAGAGATATGGGCAAGTCAAGCTTCTCATATTAAGCATAATAATTTTTGTAGAACGTTTTCGGAAAGACAAGGAGTTTGTTCGAGCACTACATCATGAAGAATCTGATGCCACTGACACAAAGAAAGATTTATATAACAATTTTACTTATTAAATAGTAAAACTTCTTGAGATATAAATAAGCTTTTTTTGAGTACTATTCATTGATACGATCAAAGGTTAATTTCCTATCAAACATTGATTTTGAATTTGTGGTAATATATTTCATTGATATATGTTATAAATTAATGTTAATTATAATTTGTTACATTTGTCTATTCATAATTCGTTATTATAATTTGATCGTAAAAATTTGTAAATTCGTTGAGGCGATGTCCAAGCTTCTTCAAAATAAATTGAAAATGACAAGAACAAAAATTTGTATGTCTTAAAAGACTCTATACAAAATGTGCAAATTTTAGATATACTTAATGATAACTTTAGATAACTTTAGATATATTTTAGGTATACTTAAACTGTAGTGCAAATGATTTTTTAGTCACAGTTATAAACTCTATTAATATAATAAGATCTTAACAACTTTATATCTGAAATACTTTGAATAATAGATATTATAGAAGTACTCAATGTTCTTACTGTAACGATACGCCTCCCGCGCATCGTTCTAATTCTAAGTGCGACCGAGTTCCGTGCCCGCTACCGAACACGCCGTCGGCTACGCCGACCGACACGCGCGCCTGAATTACCGAACGTACCAACCGTTGCGCGCGCAACCGAGCATGCATTCGCCACGTGTATGCCGAACACCGCCGACGACCCGCGCGCTGTTTATGACAAATTGTTAATAACAAAATAACAAGCGCGGCCAGGTATATAAACCTGGCCGAATCCGGCTAAAAGAATCAGACCGATCCGATCCTCCGACCTATCCGCATTTCCGACTGATACAGGAAACCGAGACCAGGCATTCCTGATCTCCGCCGAGCATACTCCGACATCCGGCATCATATATCCGTACAAAGTGAAGAAAAACGGACAGAGTATTCTCAGTCTCCGCCAAGCATACTTGACTTTCGCTTCCCTCGAGACAGAGCGTTTTCAGTCTCAACGCTTTCTTGCCAATGATACGAGCAAACCGGGACAGAGCATTTTCAGTCCCCGACAAGCTATATACTTGTCACTCGTTCCTTTCTATTTTCAATTCCGAGACGGAACATTCTTAGTCTCATCAACCTCACCAGTACACGAACACACGGGACGGAGGATTTTCGGTCCCCGACAAGCATATTTGTCTCTCGTGCAGAATTCTCGGAGCGAGCATCCTCTTAACATTCGAACGCACATCAACCGCGCGCAGATATCGAGTAACGCGACACGCATCAACGCTACCACCGCTCAATCAATCGCGCAACGCCGCGGCCAGTAGGCCTCGACCCGAGCCAATCTCGTGCCCCTACGTACGCTTCGCGCATTCCGTACGCGCATATTTCACGCGCACCAAGAACTTCACGGCCAGTCGTACATCACGCCCGCCAGCAACTGCGCTCGGTAAACCCGCACCGCTGTGTATCTATCTGGTTGAATCAAATAAATATACATTCTCTAAAACAAACAACCGAGTTAAACTTTTTTATTAATTACCGAACTCGGCAACCGATAAGCACGTCCGCGCATCCGAACTCGCACGACACGGCGAGGACGGACCGTTATATTACAAATGATTATGTTAGGAAATGGAGTAACTGCTTATCTTAAATAGTCTCTGAAAAAGGTAGCAATGAAATTTCTAATGGTAACCTAAATTGTATACTAATCAAGTCAAACATATAGGCGTATGTAAGTATATCGTAAAAATAAATGATCTGATGAATTATAGAATAATTACTTCAAAATTGCAGTGAAGAAGGTTGCAAATTATGTTCCAACTACACTAGAATCCGAGTCTGAACTGAATTGTCATCGTGAATCCTTGTCAGAGGATGAAGAATCTAGTTCTTTGGCATAAGAAAAAGTTCGTTTATTAATGACAGTTATTAAACAGGTGAGCGATTTTTAACTCAATAACTTGAATTATTGTCTCATAATTCCATTTTGTGTATATAGTTTAAACCATGTACACAAAATGGAATCATGAGACAATAATTCAAATTATTGAGTTAAAAAATCGTCCATCAGTAATTATATAATACTATTGTAATGATATTGTAACCCAATAAATATATATAATAGATAGTTTTAATGTAATAAATTTAATAAATTTCACTTTTATCCTTAGAATCTTTGCACAGCGGTTCTGTACAGTCTTTAAAAAATGCAGAAACAAAGTTTCAGCAACCGGATAAATTCTTGGACGTATCATACAGTTCTGTATCAAAAGGTGAAAATAAAAATTGTTAAAAAAATAAATTATAATTAATTATGTCTGTGAATTTATCATATGTTTAATATGTATCATACTAAAATTGAATAATTTTTATACATTATAGATCCTACAGAGTTACCGATTCATCACTCGCAAATTAATTTCGCTCGATTTGCAAATGGGAGCTCTAAAACAAGACCAAAAGAAAATATTAGAAATATTAAAAGGAAATTTGAATCACAAAATTCGTCAATCTGAAATAAAATATTTTTTCAGCTGCACTGAGAAAACGAAAATTACATGGAGGACGAAATGTCAGCTCCGATTAAAATTTGACTTGCTCACGCTAAAGAGCTGCTCTAAAGTTACACTAAAGAAGAACGAGCAGAATAATTAATTATTCTGAACTATTTTGACTGATATATTTTATTCTACCGTTTGTTATGTTTGTATTCTTAATTACTTTGACTGATTAGTTATAAAAGCTAAATATGTATCATTTAATAGTTTAGTTTAATAATTATAAATATTATAATAAAAATTCAATATTTAATTTTTCAAAAGTCAGACTTGAGCGGTAGTATTTTTTCTATTCATTCTATTCATATGTTTCTTTCTTTATTACTTAGTTCAAAATCACATAAAGAAGTGCAATAATAATATATAATATTTAATGATCGAAGAAATCAGGCAGATATTTTGTTACAAGTGCGGACATCATTTTGTATAAAAAACTGTAAACTGAGTATATAGTATAATATAATATTATGAAGTCTACATTAGGAACATTGTACAATAATTATTCAAATCTTTAAATCTTTTCTAGTTATATACAGAGAAAAATTCTGAGATTTGCTATCATATAAGTTCTTATAAAACATTATAAATTCATCATCTTATGAATATGCTGAACAATAACATTGATATGTTCAGTATATATTGCCGAATATATATATATATATATATGCCACGACTGATATACATAGGATATTCTTTTTGTCTATTATAATATACTTACAATATATGTAGGATAATATATATATCCGCTCTTTCAGTATTCTTAGGATATCCTTAGCAAATGCGACAAGATATTCTGAGAATATACATGAAATATTGTTTGAATATACTAGGAAGTTTTCCAAATATATTTAATTAAATAATATTTAAAATATATCGTTAGAAATCATAAACGATATTCTCAGGATATTCTGAGAACAATGAAAGGGAAATAGAAATATTCTGAGTATATCGTGAGTA